TTGAGTGCACAGATAGCGTCCACCATTGCTAACACAGCCACTTGTCCACAGTCCCATTTGATACACATCAGGTTAGTTGGGCAGGAAGCTAAACAATGGTTTTAGAGTAGGTTACCATATTTCCTGGATTATTAAGACCATTTTGTGTTTTGGGGTTCTACTGAAGAACATTTATGTACGTCAGTTATATTTATGTCCAAGGATTGTTCTTAGAGTCTTTTCTACCTTTCTTTTTTTCCAGATGGCCTTGTTACCAAGGGTCTGACCTTTCTTCTAGGTCTCTGATAATTAGGCTAGACTTCACCAACATTCTTAAGATTTGTTGTAAAATTAGGCTTTGGCTGTCTCTTCACTCACATAAGGTGGGAAAACATGTGTTCTGTGCTGTGATTTTTCAGGTCCATCTCTGAGTGGCTTCAGAGTCAACTTCTTGGTACTGACATTTCAAGCAGAACCAGCTGTAAATAAGGCCTAGGGGTTTTCATACTCTGTACGGAAGTTATGGGAAGTGCCCTGTAATGACATATTTGCAGACTGAAAGGAAAATAGGAGTATGACTTAAAAATATACATTTTTTATGTTTCTGAGTTGTTTCACTTACGATAATGGCCTGCAGCTGCATCCATGTTGCTGCAAAATACATGATTTTATTCTTTTTTTATGATTGAGTAGTATTCCATTGTGCATATATGCCACATCTTCTTTATCACCACTATGCAATATATCCATGTAAAAAAAATTGTACTTGCACCCCTTATATTTATACAAATAAAAAATTAAACCAGAGACCGTTATTTAAAATTCACAAAACATGTGCTTTGGGAGTGTGAAACATATGCTTGTGTACTTATGTTTTTGGGTTTTTCTGTCCAGGTCTCATATGTACTTCTTCCAGTTAATGACTAAAGGTTGTTGAGCATACCCTGTTTTGTGGTTATATGCATCAGATAGCTGATTGGTCCTCTGAATATTTGGTTTCTACTGAAAACTCATAGTAAGACAGGAGTTTTTCTATTAACAAAAATAATTACTTGCTAAAAGAACTATGATAATATTCTGATATCTCTGTTATGGTATAAGGGGATTTTTTTTAATTTTTTGGATCAAAATGTTTGATTTTTTTCTTTCTCTTTTTATACATAATTTTTATTAAATCATAACTGCATACATTTATGTGGGCGCACGTGATTATTTAATATACAATGTGGAATGCTTAAATCAAACTAATTAACATAACCATCACCTCACTTATTTTTGTGGTATGACATTTATGATATACTCTTAGTTGTTTTGAAATGTACCCTTGCATTTTTTAACCTTTATTTTTCCAGTTGTTTTAGTTTATTAGTTGCAAAATAATTAACTAAATCTATTATACAAAAGGGAATGATTTTTAAAAATGATAAAAAATTAAATTTACTTTGGGATAACACAAGTCTTAAAAGAAACTTTTACATTTCAAGGTGTTTCTCAAAACAAACACCTACATTTCAAAGGGAAATATAAATTATTTGACATTTATGATTTTAGATGATGTATGATTTTTGAAAAAAATTCACATGAGAAATAAATTGAAATCTTACAACCTCTCTTTTCAAGCAAAGCTTTCCTTTTTTACATGATAAAAATCCAATAATCACATCACATTAAGGCAAAAAATTTTATGAATTGCTCTTTTGAGACATAAAGTAGATACTTTCTTAGGCTATGTACTGGAGACAGCAAACATAAATTATTTTCCTTAAAATAAGTTCTCTAGCTAAAGGAGGCATTTTATAGAACACTTTGAGTAATCTCCTTTTTAAACTTGTATTTTATTTATTATTGAAATGATAATGACTGGTGTGGAGTATCTTGCCAGAGAAAGTATAGTGCCAATTTTAATCTCATTTTGTTTTCATAATCATGCCACTTTTCTAGTGAGAAAATCACCTTCAATCACTGAAGGCAATAGTCACAGGTAGGTAGGAACACACTTTAATGTATATAGAGGAAGCCCTGGAGTTTCAAGGGCATTTTGCCTTAAAAGTGACTTCGCTTATTGTTTGGGGGAAAAGAAGGGTAATTAGATCTCTCAACTTAAAAGAACTTGTAAGTGTTTATGGTGTGTGATGTTTTAATGCATTTACACATTGTGTAATAATCAAGTTATCTTGTGAGTCTTTAAAAGGAGAGGCTACCTTGTAGTAGGTTTGTAACCATGGAGAAAAGAGAGACGGCAACAGGGGGTGTGAAATGCCTACATAATAGAGCAAATTCTGACTTTGTGTTTCTGAGGCACCTGGTGGGTCAGTGAGAATTTGAATGAAATTAAAGAGGGACAGAGCTAAAACCTGAGGAGGTCAAGTGTGAAGGAGTCCTAATTTATTTGGGAGAAGTAGATTAACATCCCTCAAAGAATGAGGCTACTTGGGAAATCCACTGTAAAGAGAATGAATCAGCACTGCCTGACAGTCATGTGCTGATGATACCTTGTGTGACAGGAAGGCCACCAGCACACACTGAGCTGGCTCTCTCTCTCCTTTGTGTGGACACTACTCTGATTCCCCTTTTAAATGTGTAAATCCCCAGGGTTTTTGAAAAATTCAGGATCAAAGGGAATAGTGAATTTCTTGCTAACCAGGCATATAAGGGGTTGAGAAACAACTTGGAAAAACAAGAGTAGTAACTGCATAGGCACCCTAGTTTTAAAGTGACTCATAAAGTCAGGGGCTTCCCACTTAGATTCCCCACCTTGGCTGCTGGAGGTTCTGTTCCCCCTCTTTTGCTCCCCCCCTTTTACTTATCATGCTTATCAATCTTTATCCCTGTCAATAAAAAACAATAAAAAAATTTTAAAAAATCGTATGCACTTAGTTTTTAAGGAAAAATGAATCAACTATACACCCATAATATCAGCATAATTTGCTTTTTTGTGTATTATATTTTTTCTCATCTATAGAAAAATATGTTTTTATATAGATGAAAACATACAATAGAACCTTCTTACCTGCCCAACAGATCTAGATAATTTGTTGATTAATCCAAAAAGTCTGACAGAGCTGAAAATCAAAAGGATGGCTTATACAATAAAATATTTTATTTTAACTCAAAGTATTTAAATGTGCCTATATTTATAAATATGATGTTTTCTCTTAGGGTTTTACTTAGAAAATGGACTACTTATATAGAGTTGTTCAGAGCACTTATGGCATAAGCACACCCATAAAACATTACATAAATTCTGGTAAATTTAAAGATAAGCAGCCACTTAGGGACATTTGAAAAATAATCCAAGTAAGTAAGACTTCCAGATTTTTTTTATTTTTATTTTTTTTGCAGTTTTTGACCGGGACCAGATTTGAACTTGCCACCTCTGACATATAGGACCAGCACCCTACTCCTTTGAGCCACAGGTGCTGCCCGACTTCCAGATTTTTATGATTTTTTCCTGGAACTTATTAGGTCTTTCTAAAACAAGCACATGCATCTATTAGAAATGAGCAGGGTTTTTTTTTTGCAATCATATTTCACCAGGTTACATAGTCTAAAATTACATTTCACAAATAGAGTAAATAAATATAACTGCTATAAATAGTTTTGAGAACAAATACAGTACACAAATAGAGTAAATTAATACAATTGCTATAAATAGTTTTGAGAACAAATACATCTGGCAACTTGTAGGGGCTGAAACATAAAAGCACGATTTAAAGCAATCTTTTCAACATGAGTGTTGATTGTGCTGTTGGAATCAGGGTTCTTTACAGAGGGAGTAGAGAATGCTGGTTAATCTGTGTTATAAAAATATTTTTCTTATATGTGATTTTCACAGTCATATAAGTAATAACATAACTTTCCATTTGTGTGATTTAATACATTTTTGACAAATCAGGTGATTTTTATTCCATTTTGCGTTGAGCCTCTGGGCAGAATAAGAGTATAATAAACAGTAATTCATTCTCTTATCTAGAATACAAACACCAGGCTAACTAGATAATTCCCATAGTCACTCACTCAAAGAAAAATTAGTTGTCCAGAAGAAAAAAATGAAGTCTGTTCAATTTCAATAGTTTTAAGTAACAGATGCATGTCAAAGGGTGGGGTCAGAGGCTATAACATAATATTAATAGAATTCTAGAGTAATATTAATAAAAATCTGGAATTAAGTTTTGAAAAAAATCAACAATTCTGGTAATTGTAACTAACATTTTTGTCACTGGAAACCTAGTGCCTTAGCATTGACGTCTTGTTCCCTAAGACCTGGTTTAAATTTTCTCTCCTCTCTTCCCATTCCACTAATTCCAAACTTTTTTCTCTTTCAGGAGGAATAAATATTTGTTCTTTTGATTTTCATGAAACTTTATTTATACCCTTTTAATAGATATGCTTATCTTATATTATTGTAATTTTTTTTCAGTGCTCGTCCTTCCATTTACCCTCTCTCCACTTCCATAAACTATAAATTAGTTTATCTCAAACTTCTCTCCTTGGTAAATAGGGAATCCACTAGAGTGTTTACTAGGTGAATGTCTGTGCCCTAGGTAAAATGCTCCCAGCCACTTCAGATCCCATTCTTTCTTTCATCCAGCAAAGCAATCTTTATCCTGACTTTTATTTGGGGTTGTGTTTTCCCTTGAAAACCTCTCATAATTTTCTCTTTATGTTGTGTGAATTGCTTCTTTTCTTTTTTATTTTGTTTCCATTTCTTTTTTCTTCTCTTCTTTTCTTTATTCTTTTCTCCCTTCACTTCCCTTCTCCTTCCCTCCCCTCCTCCATCCTTCCTTTCTTCCTTCCTTCTTTCTTTCCTTCCTTCCTTGGCACTGGGCAATGTAGGGTGTACGTTGACTTTAACTTTTCTTACATGGGAGAAAATAAAAAACGCAACAGAGTCTTAGTTCTTGGAAACACTGTCCAAGACATTTCTAAAGCATAATCTAAGTCATGTCTCAAAGGTCAGAGAAAATCTCATGCCTTCAATTTCTTCCATGACTTTCCTAGTTAATTTTTTAATTTTTTTGTTAGCTCATCTTGTTTTCTCCAGGCATTCCCAGAACTCTTTTCAGGGCAGTTTTTACTTCCTGGTTCCTCAAACTGTAGACAAGAGGATTAAGTAGGGGAGTAACCACAGTGTAGGTCACTGCCACCAATTCATCCTTGTCTGAGGCAGACTTGGACTTGGGCCGAAGGTAGATGATAGAGGCACAGCCATAGTGGACGAAGACCACAGTGAGATGTGAGGCACAGGTAGCAAAAGCCTTCCTCTTACCCTCAGCCGAGGGGATCTTCAGGATGGTGTTAACTATGAAGCCATAGGAAATGAGAATTAACAGAAAAGGCACCATGATTACCAAGATGCTGAGGCTGAATAGAACCAGCTCTTTCACATGGGTATCAGTGCAGGCTAACTTGATCACAGGTGCCATATCACAGAAGTAGTGGTTGATCCTGTTGGGGCCACAAAAAGGCATGTCACAGATGAGATTGGTGGCCACTAGAGCAATAAAGAAACCTGTGACTCCTGACAGAGAAACCAGCCCCAACCCTAGCCTTTTATTCATGATGAGTGTGTACCTCAAGGGGTGACAAATTGCTACGTAGCGGTCATATCCCATCACAGCAATGAGAAAACAGTTGGTGCAGGCAAAACCAAGGAAGAAGAAAAGCTGGGTGGCACAGGCCACGAAGGAGATAGTCTTGGTCTCTGAGAGCAAGTGGACCAGCAGCTGAGGGATGATGACAAAAGTGTAGCAGGACTCAGAAAATGAAAGGATAAACAGGAAACCATACATGGGAGTGTGTAGAGTCCGGTGGAGGCGAATAACAGTCATGATGGTCACATTGGCCAGCAAAATTGTCAAGTACAGGAGAAAGAAGATGACAAAAAGCAGCAGCTGGAGCTCCCCCAGGCTGGAGAAGCCCACCAGGATAAACTGCGTAACCACTGTGGTTTTGTTGAAACCTCGCATCTCGATAACTTTTCTCTGAATGCGTTTGGGAGGGACAAAGTGATAACTATTATTGCAATAAACACATTTCCCCAATGCCTTCACTTTACATTGTCAGACTCAGAATTTTAACATCTTTCTGTCTCAGTCTATCTGAATTCAGACATTCTCTTGATGATTTTTACAAGAAATTACTGACCTGCAGTAACAGGGAAATGACTGCCTGTGTTACAGAAACACTCACAAGTTTAAAAAGCCATTTAATGTTTTCCAAAACTATTTGATAAAATGAGAGAAAATTCTCAGCTTAAGAAGATTACCTTTACTATGGAAAAGACAATTTAAATAGTTTTCCTTGTACTGTATGGAACTCTTTACATGTATGTTCAGTTCTAATATGTTGGTTTCTTTTCCTAATATCATTATTCATTTAATTAGCATCATTATAAAAGCATTACAAGTCTGTGCCTGAGAGCATGCACTCAGGATCCAGAATTCTAGAGTTTAAATCTTGCTCTTGCCACTTTGTGCTATGAACCTCGGTGGGACTCAGTTTTTTTCATTTGCATAACACAAATAATGGAGCATATACTATCTAAGGCCATAAAAAGAATTAACTGACGCAGTACATGTAGAAGCGGAAATTCATGGGTTATCTGTATTTGCCTTTGTTCTACACATCCGTGGTCACAGGAGTAGAGAGACAAATATCCAGGTCTGCTACCCAAACACTAGAAAATCCTGGACCTCTGAATCAGGACATTAGTTCCTTGTATTTGACTCTATTTTCTTATCTTTGCAGTTTTTTTAATCAAGTGAAGGAATTTAAATATGCGTAGTTAAATATAAGATTGCCCTTTTCATGTTTTTAAAAATTAGTTTTCTTTTTATATTTAACTGACAAATAATAATTATATATACACTATTTATGGGGTACAGTGTGATTGATGTTTAATACATGTATCCATTGTGGGATGATCAAATCAGAGTTCTTTAATGAATCTACACTTTTTTCTCTTATGTAAGGGGTCTCTAGTCCTTGGGTTGTCTTTCATGAGTCTAGCACATGTTCTGTATGTTTATGAATTTGGAAAGGGGCGTAAGCATAAAATCTGTGTCACAGGCTATGGCAGTTCTCCCTGTAAGACAAAATAGATGGATCATCCCTTGGGATAAGAGAGAAACAGAAGACAAAGGCCAAGAAAAAAGGGAAGGAAGTAGCAAGAATGCACCTTGACTCTCTTGCAAATGAAATAGTCCAGAAGTGTCAGGGTAAAAGGAAAGAGAAGAGACTATTTCTGGAACTTTACATTACGTAAAGTCTAGGCCATTCTTCCTCCAAGAAGCCAAATTATTTTTAGTTTCGGAATCAGGTTCAGAGATTTGGGAGAAACCAGGTATAATATATGCACCACTCAGCATTTCTCAGCTTGCTGGCTACTTATTAATGGCTATAAAATGTAAGGACAAATTTGTGTATGTTCACTATTCATCATCTGTGCCATGATTGATCTGCTTAAGTAGTTCCATGTGCCTGCTATAACAGCCTTTTCCTCTGTATCGGAAAACAAGATATTTTTATATGAGCTACCTCATTTTGAGCCTCATGTCCTGCTGGATAGCTCAAGTGTTTCTTACCTTATCTCACAGGTAAGGCAGTGCACTAAGTGCCCTCTCCTCGGCCAAGTACCCTGTGAGAACCTTCATCACTGCACTTAGCATGTTGATTTGAATTCATCTCCTTATATATTTTATTTCCTCTATAGATTATATTTCTTATGGGCAGAAACAATGTGTTTTATTAATGGTTGAATCCCTAGCATATTACATATGTGTAGTTTGTCATGCTCTCAAAGTTTTTGAGCTGAATAGAGTCTAAAAAACCTAAATAATATGCTCAAGTGGTAGCCCCAGTACTGGAATTTGTCTTGTAACTTCTAATTAGCTTTTTACCGACCACATTTTATGCCACCTGTTCTTTACCTTACGGTAAGATTATCTCCTTATGTGCTTTTTTTTTCCAGGGGACAAAAACATAGCACCATACTGCTTGTTCATGTAAAACTTATTTTACCACTTCTGACTTTTCTGGAATAATTCAATTTTAATCACCTGATTTTCTGAAATTATCAAATTTTGCAATATGTACTCTATTCTCTTTAATCTTAAAATTAGGGAGATGACAAAAGAGGACAAAGGGGTAAGAAAATAGGTAAATCAAGGCTATGGATGGTGAATACGCTCAAAGATGAGGACAGTCAAGAGGATGCTGCTAAATTTCAGTCAGTTTATAAATCGAACAGCTTTCAACGTCTCCCGAAATCCTTAACTTCTCAAGAATTTGGATATAGGAACAATACTCTTTATTCTTGGCCGTAACTATAGTACTATTTTTATGCCTGTTTTCATGCTGTTTCATATACTTGTTTTCTCATTGTTTTCCATATTCAAATCCCCTTCATGACTCATGTTCTTCAATAAAACTTCACTAACTGTTAGAGCCCCCATAGATGGTCTTTCTCTTCATAACTCTTAGGGATCTCAAAATCATGGATATGTCTGAATAGGTTGGATACCACTTTGCATTACTTTATAATTAATTTGTCTATATAGGTGCCTCATATCCCTACTTATATTGTTTCTTTGGGGAAAGGGCCATGGCAATATATTCAAAATGATCTGTAGCCCTCAACAACAGTACTGGACATATAATAGACTATCATTAAATGATTAATATGATGGCATATTTCATTTCTGTGTTTTCTCACTTATAATTTTTTTCTAGAATGTGTTCTCTGCTTTTCTACTATAATTCATATCATTCTTAAATTTTTTATTTTTCTTAAAATCATCTTTTATTTGAAAAAGAGAAATTTCCACTGATGAACTTTCTTGCTGTCTTTTCTATTACTGCTCTATTTCTATTACTTTATGCTTCCAAAGTTCAGTTTGCTGCGTTACGATGTGTGGTGTGTGTACATATATGTGATTGTATTTGTGTAGGATGTGGGGTGTGTGGGTGCATATATGTGTTTGTATGTGTGTATCTGTGCACTCAATCAGAGCAGGCGCATTTTCATTTCAAGAAAATGAGCAAATACATTTTTGCTTTGGTGCAGAATCTTTTTCATAACAATAAAAACAATTTATGCAAGTGTATTCAAATTAGAAACCTGTTAGAAAATGTTTTTTTTCCCTCAGATAGTAACTGACGAAGAAATACACTTACCCACTTATATTTAAAAGATCAAGGAAGCTGACATGTGACTTTGAGTTTGGTGACTTACAGTCTTGTAGGTCTTTTGAATGTTGAAAGAGGAAGATGAAAGTCAGTGGTAAAAGCAATGACATTTGTCCTGGAAAATTAAATGATTGAAAGGAAATGCACTGGAACATTTCATAAAAGGTTTATTTGGACACTTAGACATCCAAACCTTTTTTAAGTCTTAAATAAGAGGCTGAAAATAGCCTCATCTGTATTCATATGTCAAGTTAGATTCTATAATTGGATTGGAGAGTATGTGTAGTCTTCTGGGAATCTAAGGACTAGGGCCTTCTGAGATTTAAGGACAACTAAAGCAAGAGGAAAATAAATGACTAAACTTGGACAGGAACATCTAATTTAATACCAGAAGAAAATAATTCAGACAGCAAAAATCTTTTTATCTCTGTAAAGTGCTAAAAATGTAGATAAGTATTCTTTTGGTATGGGGATGTTTAAGCACTTTCTGACAAAAAGGCTACAAAAAACACTGAGATGTCAGGAGAAACCAAGTTCTCCAAACAAGTCATTCACATAAAGATGGCTTTCATAAGGTTTAAGAGATAAAGGCAAGGGTTGGTGAATGCTGGTATGCTTGGCACTGAGGGAAATTATGTAGGTAACTCCTGTCTTGTTCCTATATCCAATGTTTGAATATAAATTCAAATAACTGAATTTTTTAATTCTTTCCTAGGAATTGTATGGGAATGACTTTCATTAAATAATTATTCTTTCAGTGCCATGATTTGAAAATCACCACATTAGGCATTATAGTGATACAGAGATAAGTAAAATATATGAATTGATCAGATTAGCAGAGCAGACAGATATAAGCATAGCTATGTGCCACAAGAGGCATAATAAAGCATGTCTCAACAAGCAGCAAGACAGATGGAAGGATGGGCACCCCCCAGCCAAGATCCTCTTAAACATGACCAGGTTGAGATTCAGCTAATGACCTTATGAACAAAAACATTCTCAAATAAAACAGCTAAATGGAAGTGAAAGCATGCTGGAGCTTTAACCAGTGGTTTTTTGGGTGTGTAAACAGAGAGTTGAAAGACACGCCACTAAGGAACACAGAGCCACAAAAATAGACTAGGATGGGCTACTGACCTTTGTGAAAAAAGAGTCAGAATAAAGAAAACCTACTTGTTACCCTAATGGGCAATCTGTCCACGTTCATTCCAGGGAGGCACTTCAAGCCACACCAGGGTGTACCAGGGAAGCTCTTCAAGCCATATCCCTATACCCCAGCCAAAGGCTTTCAGTTGACATACCCCTTCTGAGTTGACAGGACAACCAGGACAAAACAAAGAGTACATTTACCATGTTAGAGTATTCAGAGTTTACTGATAGACATAGAAAATCTCTACAAAAGTTAAAATAAGGCTTAAAGAGGGGTGATGGAAACAGCTCACCAATCTTTACTCCATTACTCCAATTTCTATTTCTTATATACCCGAAGCTATCCTTTTTCCAATGTGCTAATTCTCTCTTAATTTGTATAGTTCAAAGCAAAGATCACATTAACCCTTAGCATAACTCAGCAACCTATTACAATATTTCACTTCAAAAGTTAATCTCCTAAATCAACCTGCCTAAACTACTCAAGATAGGCATCTTTAGGGTGGGAGCTAAATTTATAAAACAGTAAGATGGGAGACAATGAAGGTCAGGCAGGATCTCAACCAACCAGACCAGCTGTGTCAAATGAGAGATAGGGGATGAAGGTCAAGCAGGACCTAAATCTACCAGA